AAAGTAATGATTGCTAAACCCTAAACCCTAAACTTTAAACCCTAAACCCTAAACCCAATATACGGGGAAATGCAAAATGTCCCAAGAGCCTACCTTGTCGACATGCCTTGGTGGGTGCCGCCGCATTGGCTCTGCATCAAAACAAGCGTAGGTTGGAAAACATGTGGGAATTTCCCAAAGGAGGAGAGACCCTTCATCTACTCCCAAAAAGTGTACAATCCTGATTACAGGATCCCCCAACAGCATTGGAGACCCTTCCATATACTCCCGACATAGTAGAGTCCTCACGGGAGCCCATCCCCCACAAGAAGGGTACCCCGCTTTGGGAGATCGCCATGTCAGTTCAAGCTTGGGGCCTCCACCCCCCCTTCAGGGCCAGTGTGAGTCTGTGAGTGCACCATAATTACCCGAAACCTTGACCCTCGCGCCTGAATAAAAGAGTTGGCATCCCTACCCCTAAACCCTAAACCCTAAACCCTAAACCCTAAGCCCTAAACCCTAAACCCTAAACCCTAAACCCTAAACCCTAAACCTACCGCAACGGCGAAGGCCCCATGCAGGAACCCAGGCAGCGCGAGTCATGGCGTCACTCGCCATGGCTGAAGCGGGGACTCGCGGCCTGCAGCGAGGCGTCCTAGATTTCTAGGGTTTAGGGTTTAGGGTTTAGGGTTTAGGGTTTAGGGGTTAGGAAAAGGGTTTCGGATTTTAAGGTCACCACTAAGCTGAGTAAGCGAAGAGGTGGGGCGGGCACTGGGCGGGCCCTGTCGCAGTGGACTTATCAGAGGAGCCTACACGAAACAGGGAAACCCTAAACCCTAAACCCTAAACCCTAAACCCTAATCCCTAAACCCAGGGAGGGAAAGTCTTTACAGTGACAGACTTTCTCATGGGCATCAAGTGGAGCCACTCAGGGGTTTAGGGTTTAGGGTTTAGGGTTTAGGGTTTAGGGTTTAGGGTTTAGGGTTTAAGGTTTAGGGTTTAGGGTTTAGGGTTTAAGGTTTAGGTTCCGAAACCCCAAACCCTAAACCCATACCTATACTATGCATGTTGGGCTTTCTGGGACAACTCTCCCCAACCTGAAGGCCCCACATCCGAAACAAACAGTCAGAACCCTATAAGCCCTGACCCTCATAAAGGCCCCCCCCCAGGGTCACAAGTCCTACACCCTAGCCCCGAACAAAACGATCCGATGCAGTTGAGTGCCTCTTCGTAGTCTGTAGTTTGCATGTACCCTAAGCCCTAAACCCTAAACCCTAAACCCTACGCCCTAAACCCTAAACCCTAAACCCTAAACCCTAAACCCTAAACCCTAAACCCTAAACCCTAAACGCCCGCCATGGGAGAGGGTGCGTCCGGTGACATAATCTCAAGGCCCGTTTCCAGGACAATGCAAACACGGAATCGGCAGCCTAAACCCTAAACCCTACACCTTCAAGCCGCTGGTGCTTGCCAACCTCCAGAGAGGGAGCTTACGCGGCGAAGAGCCCCCGATGCCAGATCCAAAAGACCAGGCTCAACCCGAGAGCCTGAGGTTTACAGGGCTTAGGGGTTTCGAGATTTGGGGTTTAGGGCTAGGGTTTATATAGGGTTTAGGGCTAGGGTCCAGGGTTTAGGGGTTTGGGTTTTAGGGTTTAGAGTTGAAGAATTTAGGGTTTAGGGCTTCGGGGTTTAGGGTTTAGGGCTTTGGGGTTTAGGGTTTAGGGGTTTAGAGTTGAAGAATTTAGGAGTTCAGGGCTTGGGGGTTTAGTTTGGGATGTTCCCCCTTATACTAACAGCCCCTATAGGGATTAAAAGGGGGGGGGGGGGTACTATAATCCCTATTCAGGACTGTTAGCATAAGGGGGAACATCCCAAGGTTTAGAGCTTCGGGGTTTAGGGATTTGGGTTTAGGGTTTAGGGCTGGAGAATTTAGGGGTTTAGGGTTTAGGAGTTTGCGGGTTTTGGGGTTTAGGAATTTAGGGTTTACGCGTTTTGAATTTAAGGGTTTAGGGGTTTAGGCTTTCGGATTGATAAGGGGGAATCCCATCTCTCAGCCCTAAACCCCAAAAACCTCAACTAGGGAAGTAGGCACCTTGCATAAAACAAAAAACAATACTTGCGTATACCCCGATGAGAAGATAGTATATATGCACGCATGCATGTGTACATACATACATACATACATGCATGGTAGCCTATATGTATATATACATTGAAAGGACGAGTAGGGTAGCTGAATCAAGAATTCCCTACTAACACCAGGAACAAAAAGCTACGCGTTCATCCACTGAAGATATTAAGATACGGTTTAGGGTCTAAACAGGTTGAAAACAGGGTCAGGGTCTTTGGTGGGTTACTAAGTTAACCCAAAACCCTAAACCCTAAACCCTAAACCCTAAACCCTAAACCCTAAACCCTAAACCTTTTCCAACATCCAGAAAACAGATCCTGCTACCAGGACCTGACTAGTGTTGGGGCTGAGGTCACCAAAAAAACCCCTCAACAATCTAAACCCTAAGCCCTAAAACCCATTTAGGGTTTAGGGTTTAGGGTTTAGGGTTTAGGGTTTACGGTTTAGGGTTTAGGGTTTAGGGTTCAGGGTTTAGCGTTTAGGGTTTAGGGTTTAGGGCCCTAAACCCCCCTTTGACCACAGACAACCCCCTGGTTCTTAGTAGGGAATGAGAGAGTCAGGTACCTTACATCCCCTAAACTATACCCCTTAAGGCACTGCATAGTCTTACTGGCCGAAAACCCAAGCAAATAAAAGTTGAAACTTTCAGAATAAACTACCTTATAAGAAGCCCAAAAGTTGAAAAGTTGGGTTTTGAGCCAGTAAGTAGTCTATGCAGGGTACCTCATCTCCCCTTCCTTCTCCCTGCCAAAGAACCAGTATGGACAATGCAGACAGGAGGCATTCTGGGCCTTCATGGCTTTCTTCTTTTCCTGGCAGTTTAGGGTTTAGGGTTTAGGGTTTAGGGTTTAGGGTTTAGGGTTTAGGGTTTAGGGTTTAGGGCCCACTCCGAGCCCTAGTCTAGGGAGCGAAAAATGCGAAGCCCCACACGGCTCAGTCCGAAGTAGGGCGTGTGTTGCGAGATCCCTAAACCCTAAACCCTAACCCCTAAACCCTAAACCCTAAACCCTAAACCCTAAACCCTAAACCCCTCACGAAGATGATTCAGGAGCCCTCTAGAAAAAAACTCACCAATAACAGCACCTGCCCCACGTGGATATTTGGGGGGTTTCCAAAAACAAAAATACCCTTTTGAGGGTTCCTATACTAGGGATTTTCCTACTTTGGGGTATATTTGCATGGGTACCCTATTTGGGGGAACACCCTATAATAGGGATTGGACTAGTTTGGGTGGTATATGAAGGGTAACCCTATTTGGGGGGAAGACCCATATTGACGTGGGAGTTTGCGAAGCTGTGGCTTTTTTTCGACCGAGGCAGCGAACTTTCAAGACAGACTTTTGCATGGGAGTTTAGCAAAAGACCTGTTCCCGAGCTTGCCCTACATCTCCCCAGGGTTTAGGGTTTAGGGCTTAGGGTTTAGGGTTTAGGGTTTAGGGTTTAGGGTTTAGGGGTAGTCCCGGGAGTGACCTAGGAAGAAAAAGGGTGCCCTGCTTTGTTTAGGGGGTTACGACGGAACCTAAGCCCTAAAACGCGGTTAGGGTTCTAAGCCTATTTCGGGGTGCGGGGGGTCAAGCCTACCACCTACAAGATTACACCACGCCCTAAAGTCATAAAGCCATAAAGCCCCAAACCCTTTCAAGCCTGGACCAAAGCCCCAATAGCTACCCTGAGCCCTTAAAGCCATGAGCACCTCCTTAGACCCTGAACCCCAAAACCCAAAACCCTAAACTCTTACAGGCACTGTAAAACTCGAGCCTGCTGAAGTCTTGAAGATTAGGGTTCCGGGCTTGGGATTTGGGAGTTGGGGCTTCGGGCTTCGTCTTTAGGGTTTGGCGGTTAGGGATGTTTAGGGTTGAGGGTTTAGGGTTTAAGTAGGGTTTAGGTTCAGGCGTTAGGGTTTGGCGGCGAGGGAATGTGGGTTTCATTCCCTACTAAGAACCAGGGAAATTTGGGTGCAAGGGTCAAAAGGGCAGTAGCAACATGCATGGCTCCGCGCTTTTGACTCGTCCGCACATGCAGCGCTCTGGTGGCTCTCAAGTTGCAAACCTACACCCTAAACCCTGAACCCTTTAAATCCTCTAAATAGACAATTCTGGAGGAAGGTTTAGGATTTACATAGGGCTGAATATACGATTCTGGAGCTGGAAGTAGCCAAAACCTTCGAGAAAGCTTTCTGGGCCTGAGAGTAGTCTCTGCTACAGCGCTACCCCCAAGGGAAACAAACCTGTCTTCGAGCCATTCAAGGTCAATCTCTTTCAACTGCTTTCACCTTTCAGTGAGAACTCTGCGATGCATAAGGTTCTTGATTTAGGGTTTAGGGTTTCAGGGCTGGTGGAGGGGAGTTTGTGGGGTATGGGCTTCATGGGGTTAGGGATGCCTTGCTGGAAGGTATCGGGACTCGGTGACGACAGGCCATGGCCGGAAAGGTCGGTAAGTGCCCAGCCGCCACACATCTTTTCAGAAGCAGGTCATTCCTTGGTAGCCCAGAAACCATACTACGCTAAGGGTACCATTTTTTGGGGTTGGTTACTTGATAAGGGAACCTTGAACCCCGACAAAAGGGACAAGGGTACTACCGAGCCACCAAGATTCTGGTGCTTCGGTTGTCAGTACATGGCCGCCGCCACATCGCCACAAAAAAGGTTCTCCGGTGGTGAGTTGGAGTCGTCGCCGGGATGGACTGAGACCCCGTTTGTGGCAGCACAGTGGCAGTTCTTCGCGTGCAGGTCCATGCGGGTCCGTGATGATGTTGGGATGTTCCCCCTTTTTCTAACAGTCCTTAATAGGGACTACAATAGGGGGTATACTACCATCCCTATTAAGGACTGCTAGTATGAAGGGGGAGCATTGACATCCCAGTGAATATTCCACGAGCGCGCGCCGCCACCTCACGCCGCTGACTGCATCAGTGATTGCCATCGGGCGACCAGGAGGTCGGTATAGTCCTCATGGGTTTAGGGTTTAGGGTTTAGGGTTCAGGGTTTAGGGTTTAGGGTTTAGGGTGTAGCGTTCAGGGTTCTGGGTTTAGGAATTTAACCCATGTAGAGTCCTGACCGGAAATACCCTCGTACTTGCCCAAGGAGAAGCCATCGTTGACCTCCTCAGCGGGATAAGGCGCACCCTACCGAAGCCCTAGGCCTAAATGCTACGTAGTACAACCTGACCCCCAAACCATACAGACCTAGAAACCCAAAAACGCTATTTGCTTAACAACCCCCCGCCCCCCCAACAATCACAGATAATAATCCCCGCATATGAAAGAACATTTTCGTATTATTGAGGTTCTTGAGCAGATTGTAGTAAGCCCTGAAACCCTCAACCCTCAACCCAAAAACCCTCAACCCTGCAGGGCTCCCATAAGAAAACCCTAAATAGAGTTCAAATCCCTAAGCCCTAAGCCCTAAAAGCCCTAAACCCTAAAGCCTAACCCGAAACCCTATCCCCCGAACCCCCCCCCCCCCTACCCCCCTTTCCGCGGGAGCTGTTGGCCTTCTACAAACTAAGCCGCAAGTCCCTACAGCCTCGGTACTTTGGGTAGGAACTAGAATTTACACTAAACCCTAAACCCTAAAACCCTAAAACCCTAAAACCCAAACCCTAAACCCCAAACCTTAGACCCTAAACCCAAAACCCCAAACCCTGAACCCTAAACCCTAAACCCTAAACCCTAAACCTTAGGTAAAGGGCCATCCTACACCCTTGCAGGCCCAGAACCGGTCAAGGCTCCACCAAGCAGGTTCCCTCCTCGAGCACGGCGAAGTCCATGCCAAAGCCTGCAAGGCCCTCGCCTTCGGGGCCTGGGTCCAAGGGTTTAGGGTTTAGGGTTTAGGGTTTAGGGTTTAGGGTTTAGGGTTTAGGGTTTAGGGTTTAGGGTTTAGGGTTTAGGGTTTAGGGTTTAGGGTTTAGGGTTTAGGGTTTAGGGCTTCGGGAGCAAGAGGCTTGAGATTGCCGCTGTGGGGGTTCGGGTGACTTAGGTATCAGAGGTTCAGGGCTTGAGGTCTCGGGCTTCGGGCTTTAGGGTTTAGGGCTTAGGGTTCTAGGGTTTTAAGGCTTTAGGGTGTTCTACAGGGTTGTCTGGCTTTCGGGTTTGGGGCATAGGTTTGGGGCCTCAGTGGAGGGGGAATGCCCAGATCAGACAGAATATCCAGGGTATGTCCCCAGACTCCTTCTGAGGGAAAAAGGCTTCTAGCAAACTGCATTTTCTGAGTGAGAAAGGCAATTTGCAGAGTAGTGAACTGGCCACCGGGCTAGCTGTGAGGTCTTGGGTCTATATAAACTAGCATGGCCCTTTAAAACCCTCTGAACAAGATTCCCAAATCTTATCCTCTTAAACCGAACAAGGGGAAATCTTACACTAGACCAAGGGCCTATCTTGGGATGTTCCCCCATTGTACTATAACAGCCCTTAACAGAGATTATACTAACACCTATTAGAATCTAGAATCCCTACCAAGGACTGCTAGTATAAGGGGGAACATCCCAAGGGCCTGTCTCGCAAAGCATCCCAGTCCTAATCCCAGCGGCTCTTGCACAACGTCTGCACGGCCTCTTCCACAACCTCATTTTCGGGTTTAGGGTTTAGGGTTTAGGCTCAGGGGCTTGGGCTTAAGGGTTCGGGTTTCGGGTTCAGGGCGGTTCAGTAGCCAGACACAACGTGCGCAGGATCTTGCTGTAACGGGTCCGTGGGCTAAGAAAAGGATGAAGATAGCTCCACATTTCGTCGATTCCCACTGAAGCTCGCAGACTCAATCTCGAGTGTGAGCCCTAGAACCAAAACTCCCCCCTGTGGCCTTTAGTCCTGCAGCCCGGCCCTGCTTCTCCAAAACCAGAGTACAAACCCAGGGCTGAGGAATAGTCGGTACACGGACTATAAACCCCTGTCGGAGCTTCAATTCGTCCACAAGCCTCTCCCTACACACCAAAACACTTTAAGAGTCCAGGCTTGTATAAGGTATTTGGGGTTCGTGGTTAGTGTTTGAGGTGCCCTAAACCCTAATTAAACCCTAGATAACCTATAAAACCCTGCAAAACCTAGCTCTAAACCCTAAACCCTGAAACCTAAACCCTAAACCCTAAACCAAAAACCAACCCTAAACCCTAAATCCTAATCCCCGGCTCAGGGACGGTCACGTCAAGCGCGCCCAGACCCTCACTGGGGCCCTTGTAGTGGCAGACCGCCCGGATCTCCTGGGGTTTGAACCCAGTGCTGCGAACCCTGAAATTAAAACCCTCAACCCTAAACCCTAAACCCTAAACCATCAACCCTAAACCCTAAACCCTAAACCCTAAACCCTGTTGCCTTCAGGGCTTAGGGTTAAGAGGCCGAAGCAGGGTTCAGGGTTTACATAGGTTTTAGGATTTAGGGTTGAAAGTTTATGTCATAGCACTGAGGTTCGGAGAAGAAGAAGAAGAAGAAGAAGAAGAAGAAGAAGAAGAAGAAGAAGAAGAATACGATCACAGTCATGATTCTTTACACGATAACAAAACATGAATGTAACAACAGTCTGCTCGTGTTTTTGCGAAGAAGATGAAGCGGATGCGCGAAATTTGGAGAAATGTGGTTTCCGAAATTAGCGGCACATCATTGGGGTCCTAATTATCAAGGGATGCTACTTTTTGGGGGTCTTTAGGGTTTAGGGTTTAGTGGTCCCCGGTCTTCGTAAGCCTCTATATGCTTAGGGTTCGAGTCTGTGGCTTCTTTGGCCATGGGTCGCCACGAACAACATAGACGCGGTATTCAGAGATCATCTCGACCACCTTGCGCAGTGGCAGATGATTAGGGTTTAGGGCTTAGGGTTGAGGATTTCGAAGTTGTGGGGCTGTGTATGGGTCTCTTGAAGCCTCTGTTTTCAAACTGTAAACCCTGGCCTTTATGGAAAGATTTGAACATTTCTTTTCGGATGCTTTCCTGGTTGGCGTTGATTTGCGCTGACACCGATGCTCCTTGGGCTTTGCTTGCTTTGAGGGCGAGCAGGACGAAGAGGGCGAGCAGGCAGGGGAAGAGGAAGACCCTAAACCCTAAATCTTAAACCCTGGACCCTAAACCTTAAACCCTAAGCCCTAAACCCTAAACCCTAAACCCTAAACCCTAGGCGGACGTGGGAGGAGGAGGACAAGGATGAGAAGGATGAGGGGGCAGGTCATTCGGCACGACCTAGGTCTACCGTGCAGCATGCAGCTGCATGCATGAACTGCGAGCTTCGTCGCCAGCCGGAGGGCTTCTAGCTCGGGCTTCGATGCGCTTGCCCTGCACACGATGTCACTCAGTTCAGGGTTTAGGGTTGCAAGTTGAGTACCGCCGCCAAAACAACCCAACCCCCAGAAGCCCTCAAAGATCTGCAGCCCTCAGCCCTCATGATCCACAGAACCACAAAATCACTGCAAGCCCCAAAAGCCGCTGAGACCCAGAAAGCCCTGAACAGGAAAAAGTGTGCAGCTGTTAAACACTGGCCTCACCACTCCACCTCGCAAATCCCGATCACTAAGACCTCCTCCTCCTCCTCCCCCAAAGGCCTCTTTGGCCCAAGCTCGAAGGAAGACCTCATAAACCCGAAAGCCGAGCCCCGAAAAAGCCTAAATCCCTAAAACCTAAACCCTCAACCCTCAACCCTATCCCTAAACCCTAAACCCTAGCAACAGCCCCCGAAAACCTTCCATGCATCGCCGCCTCCGCGCAGTGGACTTGAAGGTGGGGAGGCAAGGGGCTGATACAGTCGGGGATACCTGGCTCACGTAGGTCTGGGGCTTAGGGCTTAGGGCTTAGGGCTTAGGGCTTAGGGCTTAGGGCTTAGGGCTTAGGGCTTAGGGCTTAGGGCTTAGGGCTTAGGGCTTAGGGCTTAGGGCTTAGGGTTTAGGGCTTTTAGGGTTTAGGGTTTAGGGTTTAGGGTTTAGGGTTTAGGGGTTAGGGGTTAGGGGTTTAGGGTTTAGGGTTTAGGGTTTAGGGTTTAGGGTTTAGGGCTTCAAGGCACTTCTCAACTTCTTTACTCGAAGGGGGGTCCGAACCAAACCTTGGTTTGCTTTCTTTTGGTCTTGCCCTCTCAGGGAAGGCCGAACCGCAACCTTGCCGGGCGCCCTGAAGCCTGAAGCATAGCCAAACTCACTCTGCAGCATTTAAACTCCCTCTCGCTCTCTCACTCACTCTCCCTAACCCTAAACCCTCAAACCTAAAGTTTGAATTCCTAGCGTTTAGGGTTAAGGGCTTTGAAGATATTACACCCCCACACCCCCCAAGCACCTGCCTATTTCTTGTTGGGCGGGGAAGATTGCACACTTTAAGAATCGAATGAAGGGTTACACTCTACTGATGTGTAGGGTTAAGGCATTCAGGTCGCAGCAAAAAGGGCAGAAAGTGCAGGCAACCATTTCCCTAAACTCAAAACCCTCAACCCCTCCAGTGACCTTCCAGGAGTGTTGCAAGCATCCTTAGATGTGCAGTCTGCAGGATCCTCCTAGCCACCTAAGAGAACCAGGCGTCGGTTGTTCGGGGTTTTCACCGGACGTGTTAAGGCAGCCAGAACCCTAAACTCCTAAACCCTAAACCCCAAGCCCCGAACCCTAAAATCGCGGTAACTTGACATTCCGTACCATGCCAAGAGCTGAAGCCTCCATTCCCAACTGAGTTTCTGAGGCCGTTTAGGGTTGGGTGTTCAGGGTTCAGGGTATATACGGTTTGGAAAGGTTTCTGGTTTGATTAGGCTTCAGGCTTTTGGGCTTAAAGTTACGATAGTTGCCCATGTCCTGCGTACCCTCAATTTCTTGGGGCTGAAGGCTACGGCTGCCTGGTGAGTACTTTGCAGGTTCGGGGGAGATCCGGCGATCCACCAGAGAACCAAAGGACCGGGACCTAAATTTGGGTTTACGGTTTAGGGTTCAGGGTTCAGGGTTTAGGGTTTAGGGTTCGTTTAAATTGGGTTTCTGCAAGGAATGTACCATTGCGCGACTCAGAGCTGAAGGTCTTCGGTTTTGGGCATCCAAAGGTTCCTTGTGTGTCGGAGGGTTTAGGGTTTAGGTTTAGGGTTTAGGGTTTCGAGTTTAGGGCTTAGGGTTTAGGGTTTAGAGGGAAGTAGCCCCCGAGAGACGCAGTCTCTCTGCGCAAAGCCCAGGTCCTAACACCAAAACGGCTTTGACCACGGTTTAGGGTTGGGATGTACCCCCCTGATACTAACAGTCCATGCAGGAATCTGATCTCGGGGCTCGATGATTGCCGAGAAGGCTTTCGTGTCCGTTGCCGGCTTGATGAAGATCTGACGGAAATCTTGATTTGTAAGTTGAGGCTGAGAGTTCAGGATTCAGACAAGGCTTCGAACCTTCAACATCGAAGCCCAAAAAGTTGCTGCACAAACGATCCAACCATCTCCACCCACACCAGAAAAACTTGACCAGCAAAGCAGTCATTTAGTCCAGCTGGCTACCTTCAAGGACGCGAGCACGCGGGCAAGCAAGAAAATGAGGGCAAGCAAGGAAGCATTCTTGGCTTGCCATTGCCACCCTTGGCTGTCGCGTGAATCTCCCTCTCCAACACGGAGACCCTTCCGGACACTGCCCTAGGGTTTAGGGCTTAATTAGGCTCCTCGTGACCCACACATTGCTCAGATTTCAATCCGAAATATGAAGCATGTTTTGCGCGCCTGATTCTTGTCATCTGGTGCAGTCCTCAGTATGGTCGCCCTATAATTGAAGCATGTCCAGCTACAATGTTGACTTTGAACCCTCAACCCTAAAAACAGTCACACATGGAAGAGTCCATGGCGACTGTGTATCGGAGTGGTGTTTTGGATGAGGGCTTAGAAATCTATAAACCCAAAAAACCCTAAGCCCTACGCCCTGAAACCCTAAACCGCTAAAACCCTACAGCCCTAAAACCCTAACACCCCTTAAAGCCCTAGGTTGATGGAAGATTGGGCAGGGAGACCAAATGCCAGCAGCTGAGCCCTATATACAGTGAACCCGAAACCCAAAAACCCTAAACCCTAAAACCCTAAAACCCTAACCCCTAAGCTCCCCGAATACCTTCAAACTGGGGAGCCCCATAGCTCGCAATGAATGAAGGAATCTACAAGGCTTCGGGGTTTAGGGTTTTAGGTCTTCGGGCTTTAGGTCTTAGGGTTTAGGGTTTAGTGGCGTAAGGAACAGGGCATAAAGCACCTAAAGGCTCCTATGTAGTACCTCCTCACAGGGTAGTATACTAGAATTCCCTGTATCTAACCTGTTAAACCCTAAACCCTAAACCATAAACCGGAAACCCTAAAAGTACACTAGGGCCTGCGGGTATTTAGGGGTCCTTGCTGTGAACGGATGTCGGCATAAGGGCGCAACCTTTCAACCCTGGAGCCTGATAAACGGGTTCAGGGTTTAGAGTTTCGGGTTTAGGGTTTAGGGCTCCAAAAAAGGTTGGAACATCCTTATCCCCGTACCCCAAAAGGCATACTGAAGGTAATCTCGGCTCTAACCATCCTTAAACCATGTTCCAACTTTCTGGAGTTTACTGCAATTAAGCCCTACGTCCTGCATCTTTTGAAAACAATCCTGTGGCCGGAATGCTCAATCTTAGACACCCACGGGCGTGGATGTAACCGGATAGATAGCCCCAAACCCGGTTTCGGGAATTCCTGAAAGGGAACAAGAGGCGAAGCAAGCTGTTCGCGAATCTCGCCAAGAGTAGACTGCCAGATTCCTCTGGTGATTGATACTCTGGGTCCAAGAAAACTGCCTAGTATCCTTCTAAGAGCTCTGGTTGCGCTTCTCTTTAAAGGGAAGCTCCGGGGCTTGTTGCTTCGAGTACGAAGCCGCCAAAACGAATCTGGAGGGTTTAGGGTTCTAGGGTTTAGGGTTTTAGGGTTTCGGTGGTAAGGTTTACGGTTTAGGGTTTGGTCGGTTCTCGAAAATATGGTTCATGAGGGTCCTAAATATAAGGCGGCTCCTATGATCTAGGGTACCCCCAAAAAGGGACCATAACTTAGATAACTGACAACACCCCTACTGTTTTGAGGTTTTTGGGGTTGCGGTACCCACTGTTGGGAGATGGGGCCTTTTGTAATGGACCCAACTACCAACGGCACCTCTGAACGTGGCAGAACAACCAACAACCTACAAATCCCAAGACCCTACAAGCCTCCAAAAGACAAACACCCTACAACCTAAACCCCTACACTCTCAGTCTCTAAGCCCTCCTTCCCTACAGCCCTAAACCCTAAACCCCTAAACCCCGAAACCCCTAAGCCCCTAAACCCCTAAACCCCTAAACCCCTACTGCCCTGAACCCCCAAAACCCTAAACCCTAAACCCCGAAAATGCTAGGATCCAAAGCTTCACCCAGGCCCAACACAGCGCGGCCATACCCAAACCCTCGAGTTGTCATTCTTTGAGTCCAGAAGCCCTGAACCCTAAACCCTAAACCCTGAACCCTGAACCCTAAACCCTAAACCCTAAACCCTAAACCCAAAACCCTAAACCTAAGTTCTACACCCTAAAACCCATTCCAAGCCGCCAACTCATGGACGGCTCCAACACCATGTGGCTTGAGGTGGGCGTTGTTCAACATTAGGACCCGGATATATGCACGAAGACTGAAGAGGGTTCAGGGTTTGGGGTCGTCCAGGGTTTAGAGTAGGGACTTTTGCGGCTTAGGGTTTGGGGCTTAGGGTCTGTAGTGCCCAACTGTCAACCCCACGCCCTGAACCCTTCATCAGAATTCAGCCCAAGCGTCTTCGGCGGAGGAGGTGCTGAAGACATTCAGGATAGTCAGGCCT